GGGGGGTAAAGTCAGTGTGCTCTGCATGTGTCCGCTCTTGCTCTGCAGGGGGAAGGGGGGCAGAAAATGGGCTTTAACAGAGCGGTGTGCAGCGACCAGGGTGTCTCTGCCGGAGTGGGGTGGGCTGCCTCCCTGCCCGGGGGACGGAGGACAAATCGGACCTTCGCCAGGTTGCCTGCTCTCGTGGAAAGAAATTCCGATTTCTCTGTGGCCGTGGAGGGAGGCTGAGCAGAGCCGAGTGCCCCTTCTCAGGCACCATGCGTGGAGGGGGGCTGGGGCTTACTTGGGCGTTGTTACGCGGCGATTAAAGCATCCGTGCATCAGGCAGGAAGGTTGCTGTAAGTGATGGCCTGAAATCCAATGGCTGGAAGAGGGATGCGGGAGGGAGGGGGTGGCAGTGTTCTGCCCCACCGATGCTGTGTGTGCCGCAGCCCCTCTCGTGTCAGCCCCCTCAGTGCCCGAGGTCGGTACGTGGGGCAGAGCTGCCATCCTTGGGAGCCTTCCTCCTTCTCCTCCTCCTCCTCCTGCTGCGGGGACGTGCTGGGAGGTGAGGTCAGGAGGGTGCTGTAACACGCGTGATCTTCGCTCCCGCACCTGATGTGGATTCTGTTGCCCTCTGCTCCCATGTCGCTCCTTCCTGTCCCCACAGGGCTGTAATGTCATGGAAGACCAGGACCTTCGGGACATCGGGATCGGTGACCCACAGCACCGTCGGAAGCTCCTCCAGGCTGCTCGCTCCCTCCCGAAGGTCAGCGCCGACACAGGGACGGGGCATTGCCCAGCACGGCTGTGAAAGCAGAGGAAACAAAAGCCAGTCCCTGTGACTCCAGCCACGTCCCTGTGACCCACGGAGGGATCGCAGGGGCTGTGAGAAGGGGTTTGGAAATAGCAGGGAGGAGGAGGAGTATATTGGTCCGCCAAGCTGTGTGGATAGGATGACTCTGTGCTGGGCAGGGGGTGGCTGTCCCTCCTGCCGGTCTTGATCCCAAGTGCATTCCCTGTTTATACAGTGACTATTTTACTTTAAAGCTGCTAGTGGAGATGATGATGGCCTTTAAACTGCTTTTAATTGACGCTGTATGCCTTGGGATCCCAGCCTCCTGAGGTCTTTAACCCCTTTCTTGTGCTTTTACAGTTGAAACCCCTGGGCTGTGATGGGAACAGCCAGCCTTCGGTTCCCGCATGGCTCGACTCTTTGGGGCTGCAGGATTACATTCAGTCCTTCCTCTCGAGTGGCTACAGCTCTATCGACACTGTGAAAAACCTCTGGGAGCTTGAAATAGTAAACGTGAGTATTGCCTTTCTCTTGCCACGGCACCGAGGTCCTGCCCACGTTCCCGCCGGGGCCGTGACTCGCAGGGAGTCGTGTTAAATGGGAACAGCGCTTCTCGAAGAGGGGAAGCTTTGCCGAGGGCAGGAAAGCCTACAGTGACCGTGGTCTCTCCCTGCAGGTGTTGAAAGTGAATCTGCTCGGCCAAATCATTGCCGCCCTGGCAGACAGACCGTACGAGGAGCCACCGGCGAAGCCGCCGCGGTTCTCGCAGCTGAGAGTGAGTCCCTCTTTGTGTTCCCTGCCTGGCTGATACGTCTGTGCGGAGCGTGCTCGGCAGTGGCCGGGGTGCTTTCTTCTGCCCTGGCTCTCCTTCGCTTTCCTTCCTTTCTTTCAAAGAACTAAACCTGGGTCTGTCAGGAATAATTGTCCCCTTTCTGATTAGCAGCTGACACCTCTGGGGGACTAGAGGATGTTTACTGAGAGCTCAGGTCCTGGATGGGGATCCAGGCTCAGAGAGGGAGGCACGTTCAGCCTTACTCCGTTGCTTTCATGCACAGGAAATTCTGCCTGGCAAAATCAATAAAAAAAGGGGGAAAAAAACCCCTACAACGTCAATATTTAAGTTAAAACTCCTTTGAAGGTAAGTATTGAGAGTAATAAGCACAGAGAGTGATCTTGGAAAATTGCATTCCTTTTTAAAAAAAGGGTAAAACCTAAATGGCTTGTTTCTTATTAAACCGATTTGACCTGGAGCTTGGGTTACTCCTGGTCCTCAGATACTTGGTGGTTTGGGAAGAAAGTTCTTGAAGCGTTGAGGCAACGGCACATCTGGCTGTGCGGAGGAGGGAGTGTTTTGTGTTAAACGGTTCCCATGGACGCACCTTGGCTGCTGCTGGAGATGATGCAGAGCCCAGTACTCCCACTCCGAGCATGGTCAAGCAGAACTTGGGAAGCGTAACAGCCAGGCTGGCTCTGACTTGGCCGGAGCAACCGGAGCGCTTGGGCAGAGTAAAAACAAATGACAAATATGACGTTGCGCTGTACAAATTCTGCTGTGGCTGGGCCCCACAACAGCAAACGTCGCCGTTTGTTTGGACAGACGCGCTCTAGCTGAAGTGGTGGACGAGTTTACCAACTCTTAGCTTTCTTCTTTGCGGGTCAAACTCCATCTTCCCTGTGCAAAAGAGCTGAAGTGTGCGAACACGTCAGCGCTGGGAGATGTCTTAACGTGGCCAGTTGTATCCATTCAGCTTTTCACCTTATCAACTCCAGCGACCCAAGCAGCAAACACTCGCACAGGCATGACCCCGCTATTGAAATCAGCGGGGGAGGGTAACATGCAGCCCTTGCAGGTCAAATTCTGGATGCCTGCCCCATGGGAAACGTCAGGCAGCTCCTTCGGATCAGCTGTCTCCATGCAAGGTGGGTGCCTGCACTGAACGGGTAGCAGGGCGCTGCTCCCACCTCTGTGCCCTGCACCGAAGGGGAATACCGAGCTGACTTTCTTCCCCTTGTTTCCTGGCCAGATGTAAGGCAGCCTTCCCGCAGGCAGGAGTGCGAGATGGGATGCAGCTGGGACCTATGTTATGATTGCGCTGGCCGGGAGTCTGAGATCTGTCTCCCTGGGCCGGCTGGGCTTCTCTAGAGCTCTTGCTCTCGCTGCCAAATAGCACTCGACGTGATTTGTGGATGTTGATTTTTTGCTGCAGGAGCGGCAGCCTTTGGATGTCAGGTCCTCCGTTATCGGGGTTGGCTGGGAGGGGAGCCGTCGCGTTTGCCGTTCTTCCTGAAAACTGACATTTGGGAGCTGAGTTTGGCAAAACCCGTTGAGCTTGCAGCTAACCTGTGAGCTCGGGAGCAGGGCGGCGTGCCACGGGGGGCGAGCGTGTCGTGCTGCTTCCTCCCAGTGTTTGCAAATCAGCTTCCTGGAGCAGGAATTGGGAGTGATTGGAGTTTCCCCATCCCAAACGTCTGGTCCTTGCCCTGCTGCAGAGCTCTTCCCTCTCGCCTTGGATTCCCAAGGCTTTTCAACCAAAACAGTCTTAGCTGAAGCGAGTTGGGCTGCTGTGCCCTGCTTGCTCACACTGGATTTTTTTAGGAACTGGGGTTCAGATGTAAAAAAAAAAAGAGAGGGTTCACGCTGGTTCTGCACCAGGAACGTGTGCTTGGGAGCCGGGAGGCTGCCACGTACAAACCCTGCAGCTTCGCCCCGCTGCTCAACCGCCCCCTTTTCAGCCAACAAAAGCCCGGACAGGCAGCAGCCAGCTGAGGATCTGCAGTTCTCTGAAACGCCCACTTGAGACCGATGAGACTGAAGGCAGGGGGAGAGGAGTCCTTTGGTGCAGCATCAACTGATTGATATGCTGGACGGGGAGGCGGTGTAAGAGAATGGGCCATTTGCAGCATTTCCTGGTGCTACAGCTGGTGCGATCCAGCGCCTGGCTCCGGCGTGGGGAGCGGAAGGACGTCAATGGCAAATTAAGCAAGTCCGTTGAATAGGGCTAATGCGTGTTGCAGCTGTGAGCTTCCCGCATTGTCTGCCGGGCCGCTTGGCACGTACAGGCAGCGAATCTTGCCTGCAGTAAGAGCCAGGCTGTCAGGCATCTGGGCTGGTCTCTTGCTGGGCTCCCAGGGCTTTTCTCCTGGGGTGGCTGATAGTCAGTGGCTTGGAGTGCTTTGCTTAGTGCTCTAGCAGAGCCTGTTCTCTATAAACACCCTGCCCACAGCTCAGCGTGTCTCCTTCCCTCCTGGGATGAGCTCACGGGAGGCGGAGGCGTGCTCGCCAGAAAGGGCTGCATACCTGCCTGAAACCGTCCTGGAGCAAACCAGGGGTATCGTGCGGAAAATAAATGGTGTGATGGATGACACTGAGGCAGGAGGCCGCAGAGCAGGAGCTGACCCCGTTAACTCTGTTTGTTGCACCCTTTGTGTCGGGCACTGCAAAGGGGAGCGAGGGGTGGGCACGGCTGTGGCACAGGCTGACCGGGATGGTTATTGGTGCCTGCCTCTTTCAGTGCCAGGACTTGATGTCCCAGACGTCATCGCCCCTGAGCCAGAACGACTCCTGCACCGGCAGATCTGCCGATCTCCTGCTGCCCTCCGGGGACACCGGGAAGAGGCAACACGACCGTGGCACCGAGGTTGCTCCTTACTCCAGAGCTGAGCGCTACAAAGCACAGGTCAGTGGGTGCTTTTCTGTGTCCTAGGGGCCCCTCTGTTCGGTTCAGTGCAGATTCCCCCTTCTCTGGAGCTAGCGAGGAGTTAGGACGATGCACGGAGAGCCAGAGAGCCGGTCAGGCACAGCTTCCCTCAAGCGTTAGAGCCAGCAGCTCGTTTGTGCCTCAGCCTCAGCTTGAAAATGGGTGACTCACACTTCCATCAGCGCTGGCACCTTCACCCGCAGCGTGCTGCCTCCTCCCAGCCCCTGTGGGATTTGGCCATTGCGAACCTGAGTTGCGTCAACCCGGAGAGCCCTCCTGGGATGTGTGTTCCAACCCGGGTTGGACCTGTTGTGGCTTCACATCCATGTTTCTTCCCTTCCAGGAGGATCGCCGGGAGTCAAAGCTGACCCTGCGCCCCCCCAGCCTGGCTGCCCCGTACGCCCCAGTCCAAAACTGGCAGCACCAGCCGGAGAAGCTCATCTTCGAGTCCTGCGGGTACGAGGCCAACGTAAGTGGCTTCTGGCTTGTGGAGGTTGCGAGGATGAGGAGGCTCTGGGGTCAGGCTGTTGCGTGTGGAGTTGTCACGCTTCCTCCCCCTCCCTGGGTGGCCTGTCCCTCCCCAGCCACAGCTGCTGGCCGCTCACGGGGCCGTGGCATTGCCTTGGGGTTGGCAGGGTGTCCTGCCTGAAGCCTTTAGGATGTCTGGGAGCATGTTAACGTCTCCTCCTCTTCCAAACAGTACTTGGGCTCCATGTTGATCAAAGACCTCCGAGGGACGGAGTCTACGCAGGACGCCTGTGCCAAGATGAGGGTACGGGGGCCACGGGGACAGGGGGGGGATTCACTCACACCCAGTGGTGGATGATGTGGAGAAGGGGAATGGGGGGATCTTGGTGAAGCTATGGTTCCCCAAACCCTGCAGGCTGCCCCCTGTGCAGAGCAGGGACCCAGACCACCTAACAGGCTGTGCCGCTGTCGCTGGTGAGCTGCCCCTCCCCAGCACTTTTCCCCATAGTGGGAAGGTCTGTGCAGTGGGAGAATGGGTGTTTTCACTGGAGAAGGGGGTGCTGGGTTCGCTTCAGATCCCCGTTCCTCTGCTTCCACCAAGAGCAGGCTTTCCTCGTCCTGGTCCGAGACCCCCAAGGCCTGCCTTTGTGGGGCAGTGGGCTGGGGAGGGGGTGAGGAAGGGAGCATTTATTCACAACTGGTCACTTGAATGTTCTTGTTTCTGAAGAAATCCACAGAGCATATGAAGAAGATCCCGACCATAATACTGTCCATCACGTACAAGGGGGTGAAGTTCATCGATGCCTCTAACAAGGTGAGCTTCAAATGCCTCAAAGCTGGTGTCTGGAGGGACAGGACCTGCAGTCCCACCTGCCTGGGGGCCTGCAGGTCATATCTAGTGGCTCCAGAAGCCACGGCTGATCCTGAGGAGCCCAGCTTCTCAGGACTACAGGGGAGCACCAAGGTGGTGATGGTTATCTGAATGCCGAAGGCTTGGCAAACTGGCTATTTGTGGACCGTGTTGCTGTTTATTCCTCCCATGGGAGGGAGCTAGGACTGGTCTGGCGGGGAGCCCCCCCCTCCCTGCCAGTACCTGTTTTGCTCCCTGTCCCCAGTACACGCGTGCCATGGCCACCGTTTGCCGGGTGTATTTGCCATCCCCGGAAGGGTGACGGGTGCTTGTGCTTGACCCCGGCAGAATGTCATTGCTGAGCACGAGATCCGGAACATCTCCTGCGCTGCTCAGGACCCTGAGGATCTCTGCACCTTCGCCTACATCACCAAGGACCTGCAGACCAGCCACCACTACTGCCACGTCTTCAGCACCGTGGATGTGGTGAGTGGGTTATCGCATCTCGTCTCCCAGCACGCTGCAGTCCTTTGCAGTCCACTTATTTCATCACTCAGCTTTATTTGGGAAGTCATAGAACAGGATCTGGTCCCTTCTAGGGCTCTTTTACCTGTTTCTACCCTAAAATATTCCTTTCAGAGTCCTGGCTCAAAATGCTCTGGAGCTCTGTTGACAAAGAGAACATTTGTCTGGCTTCATTACTGCAGTCTCCAGTGTTGAATAAAGCAGGGCAGGAGTTTTTCCCTCCTGAGGAATATGCCGTGAACAAAACCCTAATACGCTCTCAATTATGTTGAGCGTAATAGGCTGATTTAACAGCTTTTTAATTCACCGGGAGTGTGGAAGCATAACTTGCTTTTATTCTTGGGCAGAATCGGCTGTACAAGACGTTTGGGCTTTTTCTTTTTACAATGCAAAACGCTGGTAAACTGCGATGCTTACGGGGCTGTAGCAGGCTCGCAGGTGGTCTCACCAGCCGGGGCTGCGCGAGCACGGAGGCGGCTTCGTGCCAGCTCCTCTGCGGGGCAGGAGCTCAGCACTGCCCCATGTGTGCAGAGCGGCTTTGCCAGGGATACGGCAGGATGCGACCTGCTAATGGAAAGGCAATGTGCTCTGCCGAGGTCTGCATCTCCAGAGCAAGCCGCTGAGCGCATGGACTCTGCACGGGGCAAGGTAGCTCGTAGGCACCTAACGGCTTTGTGTTTTCTGTGGTCTCTCCAAAGAACCTGACGTACGAGATCATCCTCACGTTGGGGCAGGCGTTCGAGGTCGCCTACCAGCTGGCCCTCCAAGCCCAGAGGGCGAAGCCTCTAGGTGCTGCAGCAGGAGAAATGATCGAAACAAAATCTTCCAAACCGGTGCCTAAACCGCGAGCCGGCATGAGGAAATCTGCAGTACGTATGTGCGGGCCGGCAGGCTGCCCGGTGCAATCTGGGTGGTGTGAGCTGGGATTTCTCTTGAGCACCACATGCTTAAACCTCCCCCTTCGTGGTGGGGGGAGCCCAGATGCGGACACGGTGCCTGTAGCTTCAAGCACGGCTGATATTGCAGTGTCCGTGGCTCTGCTGGCAGTCCTGCTGCAGTGTTAGGTCTTCCCCTGGTAGGATGAGGGCAAGCAGAGGTGGAAATAGCCCGGGTGGGATGGGGCTTAAGTGCCCTGCTGGGTCTAGCACAGCTTCCATGTGCAAACCTTGCAGAGCCGCAGTAAGACCAGTAGGTAACCTGCAGTCCGCAGTACGGGAGTGCCCCTGTAGCCAAAACCAGCTAAGACTGGAGCTGCTGAGGAGCAGAGACTGCTGCACAAGCCCTTTCCTTCCTTTAATGTCTCCTTTTGTCTGTGTTCTGCTTGCTCCCCCCGCTCAGGTGCCGCTCCCTCCCGACACTCGCTGTTGTTACTGTCACACCTGTACAACACACCGCCCCTCCTACCTGCCGCTGCAGTCTGTTAGTCCCGGAGCTAAGGTCTTTACCCTTCTTCCTGCCATCTTCCATTACGAACCGACCCGGGCTGCCCCAGCCGCCACTGGCCCGCCTGCCTCCCCGCTTCCCGCGTCTCCTGCTGTGGTGTCCTGCCGCCGCTGTCTTCCCTCCCTGCTCGTTCCAGGGCCGTGCCATGGGCTCAGATGAACCCCGGGGACAAACCGCTCGTATCCGTCCCCGCTGATGTAGAGTGGCAGCGCTTAAGTAACGGCGTTGCTCTTTCTGGTGGTGTTAATCTTCCTGTAGGATCCTGATTTAGGAGGACAAGATGAAAGAGCCTTGCTTGGTCAGGAGAGTAAATCATGTGGGAGCTCACCTGCCAGGAGCCGTCTCCCTCTCTCTCCCTTTGCCTCCTTTTTTTTATAGTGCCACCTTTATAGCCCTGAATTTTTCGTGCTTGTTTGTGAGATGAAGCGAAGCTGTCACTAATGGTAATAGGGGCTTGCAGGCCTAACTCAGGAAGTCATCTCAGGATGCTGGGTTGAGACTGATGTGGCTAGACATGTTTTAGCTGCAAAGGACTCGAATGCCTCCCCAGCGAGAGCTGCTTCCCCGCACGCGTGCACATTTTTGGGATGGGCATTAGGCAGAGCAGCAGCCTCTCCGTGCTTTGAATCCCCACTCGTTCTGTCCCAGGAGCACGGGTGGTGACCTAACATGCCCTTTCTTTCCTTATTTTCTAGCTGGAGCCCCCCGAAGCGGACCAAGACTCCCAGTCTCATGCCAGTGTCTCCTGGGTCGTGGACCCCAAACAGGACTCCAAGCGGACCCTCAGCACTAAGTATGAGACCACTATCTTCTAAAGCAAACACACCCCGTGTCCACCTAGTCTAACCGTGCCTTTGCGATCTGATCTGTCTGCTGTTCTAAACTCCCTCTTCCTCCAGCTGCTCGCACTGAGCCCCGCGTAGGCACTACGTCAAAGGCAGCAGCACTTAGGAGACTGTAGACTTAAACGGCTTTTGTACCTGATCACTACTGAACACTGTGAATTCTCCTTACTCGGAAACAAGGGTAACACGCTGTTAGATATCTGTGAGGTGGGAGGTGCAGAGGGATGCAGGCTGGGGGAATCGGAGGTGTGGATCCAGGAAGCCGCCTGCTGTTTTCACGTCTTTCCCCTCGCTCTGGCACTGTGAATCCCTGGGGCAACGTGACACTCCCCAGGCCTTTTTTTTCTATTTCACCTTCTTATCCTTGGACTGATGGAGACCTCTTGTCTCCGCGGTGCACGCACTCCCTCCTCCTAGATCCTCTTCTTCCCGACTGAGCCACGGCTGCGTACTGTTCCAGTGAACTCACCCCTCTTCTTACCTGCCACTCGAATTGACGCTAACCACTGTGATGCTGTCTGCAAATAACACACGTTCACTGGGTTTCCTCGCGGGGACCCTCGCCCACAATCTCTCCCCTCGAAGCCTGGAGCAGAAAACCTGCTCTGATGGGAGCGCTGGTTTGGGCCGGCTGCGATCGATCCCACTGTGAGCTTTGTCCCCTCTCAGGGGGTGAGATGAGGTGCCGTTTTGCTTGCATGCATTTCAGTCCCTTGTGGGATTTTTTTCCCCCCCGTAGTCTTTCTGTTTACACTCACCAAACTTCTCGTGAGCTGTGGGCGCAGTTCTCACTTGGCAGGTTGTAAAGAGGCGAAGCTTTTAAAGGCAGGTGTCGTTAGCCCCGTGTTGGGAAGGAAAGGTGTTTGAGAGGGGCTGGGTACCTGTAGAGGTCTGATAAAGCAGACGGAGCTCTGCTGTGTTCAGAAAAAGTGTGCTTCTTTTGCCAAAGGGAGAGATGTGATTGAAATCAGTCTGCTGCCGATCCCAAAGTTTCCAGTCTACAAACCATTGCACGATGAGGGCTATAGGGATCTTGAAACATCTGTCACCTTCCGTCCTTGAGAGCGAGGATTTCACTTAGAGATGACCCTGCGTCAGTGGCACCTCTGCCTTTTCTGGCTGTTTCTCAAGTGCACATGTTTTTCCTCTGGGAAAACGTCCCCATTTCTGTGTATCTCAGCAGAAGCAGCTTTTAATTCCAGAATATATGACTGGGAATCATTTGCATGAGACCGCAGGGCACTTGGCACAGGTCGGAGCAGAGCTGGGACAGGTCTGGGAGTGCCACGCAGCGGTTCACGACCCTGTGAAAGCCCCAGCGAGCCGTCCGTGGTCCTAACCCTGGTTCCTTCGCATGCGTTTGCAAAGCTCGCTGAGATGAAACTGAGGAGGAGGAGGAGGAGGAGGATCTGATGAATTGCAGCGCTGGGAGGCAGGACTCCTGCCCCGGTGCTGCTTCTCCCTGACTTGCTGTGCGTCCAAGCAACTTCGCCTCTCTTTACCTCAGTTTCCCCGTGTACGGGATGGGGACGTACTTGCCTACCTCTCGGGAGGTGTAAGGCTCGCTCCATTTGCAGAGCAGTTTTAAGACCCTTTAGTTGAAAGGCGCTGCGACTTTCACACCGTGGCAGCAAACCCCCGGCACTCAGCCTCGCTCTCCTGGCAGATGAAGGGAAGAGGGAAGAGGGGCTGCAGCCGTGCGGTAGTTGGGCTGCACAGAGCTCGCTGCTGTGCATCTTGAGGTGAGTGTCTGAACTCACCGTGGGTTTCACATCTTGGCAAAATCCCCTCGCAGCCCAGTTTTGGAGAGCCGGTAGTGAGAGCGGGTCTGTGTTAGAGTCGTGGAGAGGTGGACGACAGCTACCCGCGCACCTCTGCATGAGATGTCTGGGTGGGCATCTTAGACATAAATGGGGAAGAGGATGCACTCAGATCTCCAGCAAAGCTCCATTTGCAAAATAGCTCTTAGAATTTACCCCAAATCTCCCTTGCGATCACCAGTTGGCATCAGTGGGGAGCGGTCAGAACAGCAGCCCTGGGTTATTTATACACCTGGTGTTCAGGGGCTAGAACAAGCTTGTCCGAGTTTTGCCAGGGCTTTAGAGCTGTTGCCTGACAGCTCGTGTTTCCCCAGACTTGCGGTGAAATCTGATGTTTCAAAATCTTTATTTAGCTCTTTCTCAGGAATGAGTTTGATCTCCCAAGTCATTTGTGGCTTAATGGCACCGAGCAGCAAACTGACTTCAAAATAAGGGCCAGGCTAGTAAGAACCCAAGTGAGAGGACTCAGAGGATTGTCTTAAAGCGAAAAAAATAATAAAAGGAAAGCTCAGTCTAGTACATATATTTCACATGCCGTGGAGCCCCTTAATGTCGAGCCAGCGCTCCTCTGCCTAAAGACCCCCAAAGCAGAGGTCGCGCTGCAGTTGCCCGAAGTGCTGCAGTGCCGTCCTGCCGGCCGGAGCACTGTGGATGACAGAACATTGCTGTGTCTGAGGTGCTCCGAGAGGTTGGGTTTGGGCTTGATCAACTTCTTTCCAAGCTGTAAGAGTGCCCCGAGGGTTTCTGTACCCTTCAAAGAGAAACTGAATTCATGATGGTGATGGTGGTGCAGTTTCTAAGTGTAAGCATTTGGCATGCAGTTGCCCACACGTACGCCTGGCTTTAGAGGGTCTGAGCTCTTGCATCTCCCCCTGCTTTCAGCTGGGAAGGGCAGGTTCCTCAGCACCTCCTAAAACCACATCACTAGAGCATGTGCCTTTCTAAGGGTGACCATCCAAACCCAGCTGGGGTCACAGGCAGCCCTGCCTGAACTACAAAGCTTCCGCTGTGTGTCCGTAACCCTCACGGTTGTGTCTCATCTCCTGGCCGTATGCCTCGTCTTTCCCAGCACTTGTTTTTGTATGACTCGGAAATCATTCATTCCATTATCTTCCTTTCTGTTTGCCTCTGAAAAGCTGATCTCCGGGCAGCTGTCTCCTACCACGGAAATGTAGTAACGGGGCAGAGACCTAAGAAGCAGTGGCCTGCTGACACGAAGATCATCTCCATCTGGCACTGGTGTCTGCCTCGGAGTGGGTGCATGGCTGCTCAGTGAGGGCTCCCAAAGCAGAGGGGGGAAAGGGATCCCAGCCACCAGCTGAGAGAAGCAGCTCTCTCCATTTCTAGCAAAGGAAAGTTGAGACTTCCGAGGCCGAGAGCGATGTCACCTTTTCTAGTTTGAGACAAACGTCTTTCGACCCGTTTCTTCTTTAACGTGCGAAATGATACAGAGCAAATCCAGTTCACGGTTTAAATGTAGCACTGCAGTTTTTTTTTTGGGGGGGGGGCAAATCTCTTTATTTACTGAGAATCTACGCAGTCTGGCGAGGGTTACAGTAGAAAGTCTTAGCAGTGGGAGTGGTGTGCGCTTCTCTAACGGTACTTAAATTGGCTTCAATTCTGGGTGAACAGTAGAGAACACCAAATTCTTGGAAATAACTTCCTCCAGTGTGAGAAGCCTTGCAGGGTAAGTCTGCATCCTTTGTTTTCAAAGCTACTCTACGCTTTTATAGCAAGTGGAAATAACTTAAGGAAAAGAGTCTGCAAAGGATCTGTCACCCCGGAGTGGTTGTGGCCAAGTATTACCGATGGTACAAAGCTTGCTTCCCCTACAGAGAACTGTTGTATTGCAATACTTGACATTTCTATGGCAAGGACGCAATTTCTTCCCATTTACGCACTGAATACCTGGAGACAGCTCCCTGCTCCAGCCTCTTGTGCACCGGTCTTGTCTTTAAATGCAGTTATGGCCTGAAGGGTTGGGGGTTTTTTTTTAAGTATATTCAATTGTGATTTAGCACTTTTTTGATACTAGCTCATTATTTAATTAGTGCAACAGTTTCAGAAGAGGAACAAAAAGGAGTTAAATTTTGGGCATTACACTGAAACAGTCCCTACCCGAGGACAAATCGTATCAACCTGAGGATGGCTTGGCCCCGTCTGAGTCCGGTATCCCCAAACACCACCATCTCAAAGGTGCTGCATGCTTACTTTTCTTTCGAATTACCGGAGTATTTAACAGTAGTTTTGGCTGTGACTGATGTCCTTTCACAGTACCGTTCCCCTCGAGGGAGAGGTGTTAAAATGGTTGCGATTTTAATTCTTCAGACGCAAAAATGTAGCGCAGCACGTTTGCTATAATCTCGACAGGCATCGTCATGGTTGGGGCTGTGGTACCCTGCTGCTTGACTAGAATGATATGCCCAAATAATGTCTGTTTAACTCCAGTTGCTGCTGTATGTCAGGATTTCATTTAGTCTCTCTCGCCAGTAAGGCTGGGAGAGAAGTGAACCGTAATCCCAAGGGCATAGACCTGTAAATGATTAGGAGGGGGAAGTGGAAGTTGTTTGGGTTTTTTTTTTTTAAGTTGATGAATTTAGGAAACCTAACATTCCTTGTTATGCATATGTTGCAATTCATACTGGTGTAAGTGTAAATATTTGGTGTGTTGGCAACAAGTCTTTTTGGAGAGATTGCAAATTGAACCTCTGCTTGGGAGGAGGGACACCTTTTTTTTTTTTTTTTTTTGATGCATGAGCTTTTTGAAGGTTGGCTTGGAGGTGAAGTGGTGATGAAGACTCCAATTTTCAGGGGACTGGGCTTGGTGACCCTGGTGGTCCTTTCCAGTCCTGCGTGTAATCCTATGGTTGTCTTTAGTGATCCAACAGTTCTTTAGCCAGATGCTCTCTTTCTCACTTCATAGACAAAAGCAATTGTTTTGACAGCGCAATCTCCCCTTTTATGTCGATGGGTTTTCTCAAGGTACTTGCATGCTGGAGACTGATCCTGGACCATGCCAATCGCTGACTCCCAGTAATCTGTTAACCCATCCATTGCACAGTATTCTGGCTCTTCCTCCCTACGGGGTTGCGTGGTATCTGGAGGAAAGTGCCCTAAATTTCTGGTGCTGAACGGGACTTTGAATCAAAAAGCATCTGCTGTATTACCTGCCTGGGAGAAGGTGCTGCTGCCCTGGGCCTTGTTCCCCTTTTCAAGGACAGTTTGTATTTTACAGACGTTGATTTGTGTGTGGCATCAGTCCAGGCTGAGAACTCAAGATAGGTAAAATAAGATGCAGAGTTGTTGTCTTTTTTTATACAGGAGGGGACAATTTTTTTTTTTCCCCCCAAATTGAAGCTGCTTTATCCTTTTTAATTTTGTATTAAAAAAAAAAGCTAATCTTAGCTGTTCAGCTGTCTTTGAACTTGCTTTGGGATTGTTCTTTTTAGAAGAAATTATGCAACTTTTGCGGGGCACGTGCCCGTCCCCCTCCCAGGGAGAAGATACGGCACCTTCCAGGCTGTACCTCTAGTGAAAAGTTTGTACCTTCGCGAGGCTGCTGAGACACAGATCAGATGCCAAATAGTCCCTCCGAACACGTCCAGTTCTGTGTGCAGCTGAAGTGGCGTCAGTCGCTTTAATGCTCCTTCCGCCCCACTTCAGAAGTTTCCAGCAGCAGAATTTCCCCTGGCTTTCTTCTGCTCGCATCATTTCCATGCAATCCGATCTTTGTTTTAGAGCAAGCGCGGTGTCTGCAACGCTGTCTTGTTGCAAAAGGTCTCCCTTTTAGGTCTCATATTGGCATTACTTACTGCATTTTTTTTTTTCCAAAAAGAAGTAACTGTGCTGCTCTTGCAAAGTCCATCTAGCTCAAACATTTTTCTTAGCCATGGAAGAATAACCTTGAGATTCCCTAACAGGGCAGAGAACAGTCGAGTTCAGTTTGCAATGTAGACATTTTTGCTAATTGTGATGTATGGCAGTGGGACTGATTTGTAATACAAATGTTATTTAATCTGTCTGTATTTTGATACTTGAATTTCCTTTTATTTCCTGTATATACAATTGTTAATCTGTTCAAATTTGTCTGAATTTTAAACATCTTGTGGTACCAAACATAACCAATCTGTGCAACAACATAGACTGACCTCACTACAACAAGGCGAGATTGTAAATATTCCTGGGCTTCCAGCAGTCGTTTTGTTGGTTTCATAATTGTACAACTTAGAACAAACTGAATTAATAAAACTTAGACACACATTCGCCCCGTTGTCACTGTGACCTCAGTGTTATACCGGAGTCTCCTGCTCGTCTGCGTTAGAGCAATGCTGTTCTCATCCTCATCTAACAGACCTGACCTGTGAAGGTAAGAGAAAAGGGGTGAGGGCAGGCAGCTACGCGGTGTTTAATGAGCTCGGTCTAGCGCTGTGCCTGCACTTCTCTGCTCTGTAAATCCGGGGAACAGGAAAACGTCGAAGCGTCGCGCAGAGACGATGTGCTGCGGTTGTGGAAGCAGAGCGCAGGACGCCGGTAAGCTGGGAGCAGTCCCGCTCTAGTTCTTCGGCAGCAGAGCCGGGGGCTTGTGCTGTCCCGAGGCATGCGGCGTGCAGGATGGGGAGTGCTGGCTGCCGAGTATTCACTTTGGTTGCAGCCGCTCTTTTTGCGGTTAGTCGTAATGATGACCCCAAATACTGAATGTTATTATTTTGAGACAAACTAATTGATGCATAAAAATGCATCCACATGTTCTGTTAAAGATAGACCTGCCTGTAGCACAGCGGTCTCCAAGCGCTTTGTGTACATTCTCCACACGATGGTGAGAAAAGCTCATTCTTACCCC